TTTTAGTGATAGTATCGCTCAGTTTCTTATACAGCATGAATAGCCTTATGATTGGTACTTGAGTATTCCTGGAATGGAATTATTTTACAATCCAGTGTATTGGTGAAATGGTATGATCTTTACAACTGCCGTCCTCCTCATGCATTTCGACTCTCCAAACCTTTGTACTATTTTAAACAATTTTTCTCCTCACACAACACTGTTCTACATAGAATATTACCCTTGACACAGCCTTATTCTTTAAACAGTTGCTGTAAGGCCGAATTTTACAGTTAATACAAATATACCGCAGGCATTTCCTATTTTTTATATATCTGTAACGCTTAGTGATTGGAACCCCTCCATGAATACCGCTGAATCCACTCTATTATCTCTTACTAAATATCTCTTTTTAAATTATGGTACCTCCTGCTTTAAATCTTGACGACTCCACAATAGAGACTCTGGTCACTCTTCTACTGCTTATGCAGTAATACCCTAGAGAAATCTCTCCTTCTCATATACTTAATAAGAGTGGCGAAAAATCTATTCCTTATATATTAGTCTTCCAAGGAAGCTTATATCCTCCGCCTGATTCTATTTTTCAAATAATAGCACCCGTTGGCCTAACTTTTCCATATAAACGTATTCCAGTCATAGTCACAGAACCAGCACGATTATGTTCCTGATATCATGGCTCCCCATCGAGATGAGTTATCTTCAGCAAATAATAGTCTCCAAATAAAAATACTGTAAAATATGAACCTGGTGCAGAATAATATTCAGGATACATGTATACAGTACACAAAATAATACTGGAGGTATAGACGCATGGTTCATACAATAGGCATTTATGTTATCCGTACATTGCACACACCTGCAGTCGCGTGGGTTCTACACTCTCTAGATGATAATACACATAAATGATTATTCCTCAATTAGTCGTATCTAAAACGCTATGTTATAAAGGCTTCACATAAGAGCACCCCCGCGGTACGGTATATTACAAAGAACAATTCCCCTAGATGGCCCCTATTGTGGATATGCAAGTACTTTTACTGCCATGGTATTACTCTGGCAATAGTACATTCCACACAAGTATATTCCTGGCACCGCATCCATTTACCGCCCTCATCTGTTCCTTAGAATGTAGGCTCCAATTCTTCACATAACATTTTCTCATAGAGGTTTATATTTCTCAAACAGTGGTGTTCTCCAAAGAGTACAAACAAAATGTGGGAAAATCTAGCCTGCAATTCAGACCCTTCTGCATTCCAAATTGGCGTATTGCAGGAAAATTCTTATCCCCAGAAAAACGGTCATTGAGAATATCGGTATGTTTCATACTATACCGTATCTTGAATCTCACTGCACTTCACAGAATGTGACTCATCATATCCCTGGCGTTCTATACATTATATGAACCGAGGCACAGCAATTTTCTTCAAATGAGTGTGTTACAGACGCTTTCTTAGTTCCAAAAAATCTCCCCCCTATACAATAACGGTATAACGTCTAAAGCCATATAATAGTATTCCTTATACATCTGTACTCTTTATTTGTATTGACATTTTAAACACATATATAAAGTCCATATCATGCTATGCCTTATATATTAATGGTACACTATGTATATTTCTCTACTTGATACAAGTGTTTTATTCATACAATATCACTGTAGGCCTGGATGACGGATAAAGATAATGATACGGCATGCAGGTTCATACACTTTAAATCATAGTACTTCTGGTACAGTATTATTCACCTCACAATGCTATTCCTATTATATCAATACTTGGTACACATCCCCACTATTCCTATAATAGTACTCTGGGAATATCAGAAGTGGAAGGCAATAAGTAATTTCTACACAATACTACTTCACACGCCTGTGTACATCTCTTGCAAAGGTACCCTCCTAATAATAGGGGTTTACACATTATACCTCTGTTAATATAATAACAGTCTAGGGAGTGGTATGGATTCCTGAATATGGTGCTTTTCCTATAATAGAAGCCTAAAGGGTAGGCCATGAAGTTCCAAGGTTTTCAATAACTCTGGTCTTTCGATATCCAGAGTCCTAGCACAGTTGTGCATTCCAAGACACCACACTAAGGAGATATCAGTACGCTCACAAGACAGCGCTGCAGATCATATGTACTCCTTATACAACTATCCTGCTAAAAGAACAACACTCTGCAGATATCACTATATCTCATCCATTAATACCTTCATATAACAGTACTACGAGTATTTCCGCATTCGTCACCATGGGAAATGATGACACGTTAATACTTCCTTGTCATTTACCTTCGTGGTATATCTAGGAACTTCATAGAATATTACCCTACGAATAATGACACGCCTCAAAAATCAGTATTCTTGACACTATAATACGGTTAACATTATAGTGGCCCTGGCATAGCTCTACTGTTTAGACAAAATGATTGGAGCCCATCTGTGGGATCTGCAGAATGGCCCAAGTCATATCCTCCAGTTATTAAACCAACAGGACGATCCTTCAAATAATGCTATTCCAAGGACAGTTCTACTCATCAGGACAAACTATTCTGTACATAACATCAGTGTTCTTCAAGTAATCGTGCAATTCACACATCCATGAGTTCCACAGAAGTGTACCTCCCATACGGAGGTACTATGGCAACTTCCACACGTTGCGTAACGGTGGCATCTTCTCATACGGCAAAAAGCTAAGTCATGAATTTTACACCCCCCCTTACTTTATTTAATAATACGAGATTAACTTTGCCACTCATCGAAGGTCGTCGTAACAGCCATATCAGGCATCTTTAGATATGAGTACTATACATACATCTGTAGTGTCTCCATAAGAATACTGCAAGCCGTGAATACTCGTTCAGAGAATATCCTGTTAAAATGGAAGTATTATCCACACAACACTACTGTAAACAGGACGGTACTTTCTGTATTATCGTACTCTATCAAAGAATCGTACTCAAAGGGGAATCCTACTCATAAAGGCAAAAAACTTGACACATCATGCTTTCGTCAGTATAGTAGCACTCAAGGTGATCTATATAGCTCCACTACTCGTACCTTTATAGAATAGTAGTATTCAAACTTCTACACCCATCACCATTGAGAAAGTAGAGACAATGGTACTCCCTAAACAATAGTTATACTGGAATATCCATGGACTTCACAGAATAGGGCCGTCCATGTAATGAAAGCATAAACCGTGAATCTTTCAAATAAACTAGTACATGCACCACTATACTCGTCACATAATAGTAGTACACTTATATCCGCGCACATTACTGGGAATGGAAATCCACACCAGTATTGTACAGATAATGGTATCCGAAGCGTCCCTCCATTTCTCAAATACCAATACAATAATGGTGTGACTATCTTCCCTATATGAGTACTACGAACACCTGGGTACGTGTCATATACAGTAACACTGAAGGATATCCTTACCCTTTACGCAGATGTGCTGCTGAAATAAGGGCACTGCAGGCACAAAGGAACCCTTCAGATAACACTTCCCTAGAACATCATTACATTTCACATAGTACTGCATTCAAAATGTTGGTGGACTTCACAGAATGGCACTCTTCATCTATTGGCGCCATCCACACTGAATCATCACAGGTATATTGTTGCCGTTCAAATAAGTGTGTCGTTGGGAGTCTGCAGGGTCCAAAGGATTCAGTTCTTACAATAGTAGTATAATCCATGAACGCGCATATAATACTACTGTTGGTACAGCTCCATACTTCACAGGCCTGGAGACTCTCGACATGTTCCAACAATTTACCCAGTTGTGCTCCCTATATAAGACTACAGCACGTACATGTTTGAACTTCGTTCAATGGTGTCATTCATATAATAGTATTCTTGAGACACACATACAAGGTAGAACTAATGGTACGCCCTGCATCTCAGTAGTATTTAATTCATAGTACTAGGGACACTGTAGTACTCATCCCCAGAATATTATTCCCCCCATATGAATTCTCAGCAGACATTTGGACTATTCACATGATAGTATTGTGGGAATATGAACACTTGAAGTTAAAAAGTTATTTTCACACAAGCGTAATCTAAGGATATCTTTACACTTGGTAGAGTGGTGCTGCTAAAGTCATGAAGCATCACGTAATGCACTACTCTTAATATAATAATACTTCAGGGACTGCTACAGGTTTCACACAGTAGCTTTGTGCGTATAATATAAGTCAAAATCCTGGGATTCGAAATTTTTACCCCCCAGATAGTTGTGCTTCAGGCACATCTATAACCTGTGCACCAATGTGTTTCCTAAAAGACAGTACTGCGCACATATGAGTATACTCACAGAATAATGCTTCAGATTAGGCATACTTCTTACGGAGGTATGCTATTCAAATAACAATGCACAACAAATATTACCACACCTCAAACATTAGTACATTCATATAACAGTATTACGGCAACTTCCTTAATTATCATCATTGAAAATCCATATCCATCTGTTCTGTGCACGCAATAGTTCTGCTTCAATATCTATACACTCGACGGAATAGTGATTTCCAAATAATGACATGCTTGAAATATCAATATTTCACACAGAGAATTACTTTTTACATCATAGTACTTTTGGCACCATAGTACTATGGAAATAATGGTGTGGCTAATATTTCTTAGAGGGTTTACAATCTGATGCTTTATATTATCGGGCCATTAAACTTAAATCCAGACGCTTTACATAATGGTAGTTCACAGGCAGCCATGCTTATCTAGGCACAGCATTTGGTACATAACCGTAATGCTCTTCAGAGGTCGAAACACTGAAGAGGTTCACGCGGTTTACACCATAGTATCCCTCATATAAAACTATTACGGGAATTCCTATACCCTCCATGGTGTAACTCTCCGCAAGTCGTAGAAGGCTATATTATATATGCTATCTCCCTGAATATTTCATTTGACGGTACTGCTGTTATTGCGTCATTCTCTTAATAATAGTATAGGAGGCATCTGCACACTCCGCAGAGATGAGTACAACATATGCCATGGTACTCTTCACAGGAGGATACTTGGAGTTATCGATACTTCCTATACAATTGTGCACTCTGAAGGGAGGTATTATCCGGACAACAGTATTGTTAACATGACGGTATTACTTGTACAAGCATACTTCTTAAAGAGTAGTACCAAAGATATCGTCGTACTAAGGAAGGCACATAATGGCAGATAGAATGGTAGCCGTAGCACAATACCACTCCTCGAAGATCAATAGCGGAGACAAAAGAGTACTCTTAAGATCATCATACTCCGGGAGTAGCAATACCCTTTAAGTAACAGTATTGCACACCACCACTGGAAATTGCACAGTCCCACACTTCCTGTAATGAAGTCATTACAGTTACATCAAAACACATGACATCCCGATAAATCCAAGCATAAGGTTATTCCTCGTGAAACACCGCTTCCCATATAACAGTAGTTTTCTTCAATTAACCCTTCACTCCAGACATTAACACACGGGGAGCAAAAGTATCCTTCACATAAAGATACTACCCAAGCCTGTTCATTCCTCATAAGATAGATTTCCCCAAATGGTAAAAGGTTACGCAAAATATATCCTATCACCCGAATACGTCACTTAAAGCGCTTGTTTCATCTTCGGTAGTGTGCAGATAGCGGTGTACCAAGCACGTCACCTATCTTCAGATAGGAGTACTATACATACGTCTGTAGTTCCTCTATATTGGCTTCTCCAACCCAGAATACTCAGTAAGAGACTGTGCCATTGGAGTAGAAGTATTTTCCACATAACAATATTCTTAAGGTCACGGTACTCTTGGCACCCATGCACTGTTCTATAACATATTATTTTGAATATAGTGATATACATTATGACACGGCCCATAAAGGTGCACCTTACTATGATAACACTAGAGGTCATGCAAATACTTGTGCTTCTAGAACTTCTATATGACAATAACATGAAAATCTGCGGATTGTGGACCATTGAGAATCCAGACAACTTAGTACGGTTTATGCCACTGCTGTAGAATACTCATGCACTTCATATAAAAATAGTAAAAGGGCATGGAAGAGCGGCACCGGCGTGACAGACACAGACCAATATTTTGCAGAGAATACCTGAATCTGCTCTGTGATGTTGAAAGGACGAGAGGATGAACATGTCAATACTCTCGGGATATTAGTACTACGCACACCACAATAGCTTTCCTACAATAAAACTGCAGAAGATCGCTACTTTTGACAAAACTTCCGTTTTCAATTAACAATGTTATCCAGGTAAGAGTATTTCTCACAGACTAGTATTCCATACACATCATGACTTTTAAAGCAATAATACACGAGGGATAAGAATGCACTCTCACACCTCGATAGATTATTCCTGTTTAGTAATGCTACTACATCAGTATGGTCATGCTATTTATACTTCAAATACGTGCCCATCCTCCTAAATAGCTAAAGGAAGGAAATATCTTCATAATGGCTTCACATAGAGAAAAGAAGAATAGGTCCATCAGCATGTTAAGGGAGAGAGATCTCTAATAAACAGCAATGAAATACAATAGAGGATCTCCGGGAACATGCAGCCAGGAGAGAATCTTCACAATGATGTAACGTGAACAGAGATTATCACAAGAATGGATGCTGGACAAAATCTTCAAGAGAACGTAGCCGAGAAACGTCGAGGAGGGACCAGGAGAAAAAATAATCTTCATAAAAAAACTAAACAACACAACAGAACATTAAGGATGCCGCGGAGAATGAGCATATTCATAAGAGAAATCACAAACGAGAACAAATCTTCAAAATGCCGCAAGAAATGTCCATCGTCGTAGAGAACATGACACACAAACCAACATCTTCACGATGCCGCGCCAGGAAGAACCCTCCATATAGAACAAATGATACGAAGCCATATATTCAAGCTGCAGCCAGAAAATAGGATCATAAGGAATGCTGCAGAACAGAAATATCTTCATAAAAAAAATGACTCGCGAGGAAATTCCATCGCAATAACATGATAAAGACAAAAGGCATCTTTATAAAAGATTCGAACACAAAAATAGCATCCATATAATGCGGTAAAAAGAATCTTCGTAAGTATGCCACACCAGCAGAAATTCTCATAATGACATGGCCCGGGAAAGTTCATCACAACACCCTAGGACAGGACTATTGTCAGAAAGGAAATGGAGCACACACAAGAATCTTAATAGTGACACGAGAAAGGAAACAATCCCTATAAAAATGGCGAGCGAAATGATATATTAAAAGTACAACGCACTAAAATGAATCTTAGAGAAAAAAGATGCCCCACACAGAAGATACCTCACAAGGACCTACCATAAACAAAGAGAACTGCATAAGAATGAAACACGAAATATCATCCTCAAGAAGGGGACACATACAGAAACATCTTCATATTAAAAAAGGAAGAGGGATATAACTATGCGAAAATGTAACACAAGGGAGCATTGTTATAATAACCTTCCAGATATAAGGATCCTTAAGAAGATGCAACCCAAGGAGAAAGAATCCCAATGCCGCGGCAGAGCAGTACACATCACAGTGATGTCACACGAGCATAGCGCAATGACCTCAAGGGGAGGCATCATAAAAATGCAGGAAAAAAAAAGAATAATCATGAGTATACTATACAGAAAAAATCGTGATAACGAGGCAGCTGATAGAGGCATCTTCATCGAAATTCAAGGGGAAGTGGTATCTTCATAGAGGTGCTGACAAAAATGTGATCATAAAAAGAACCTCCAAAGAATTTTCGTCAAAGAAAGGCCACAAAAAAGTGTATCCTCATGAAAAGATTAAGTAGAGAAATATATATAATAAAGCCAAAAAACACAGCGCGAGTGCCACGGGTATAGCCCATGAAGGGAACCCCGCAAAAAATTGATCCACATGAAAAGACTTTGGGAAGAAAGTCACATGAAACCACGTCCGCTAAAAATTACGCCACCTAAAGCTACGTTGGCGAAATTAGGCCACTAGAAACTATGTTGGCAAAATTAACACACATGAAACCAAATTCGCGAAATTAGGCCAAGTGAAACGACGTTTGCGAAATTAGGCCACATGAACTCGCATATCTAGGGAAAGAGCGTCATGAGAAAATACTCTCATAAAATTGCAGAAACATGATAAAACAGTCTCATGGGGGATAATACAGCACGAAGGCGCATCCACAGGTACTATGCGGTATGGGAACTGATATGCAAGGAAGCTGCGATATGAATTAACATACTTATAAAAATGTAGAAACGGGAAAAAAACATACACAGGAAGAGTGCAACATGCGGGAGGATACTGGTGAAAATATCAGAACATCAAGGAACACACTCACAGAAAGGATGGAGCATGAGAAAACATTCACAGAAATAACGTAACTATGAAAGAAGCCATATAAACACAACCCCCCAGAATCTCACGGTGTCCCCATTGGAATTGCATATTTGTATTCTGTTGCACTTATAAGCAGTTTTCACAGACAGGCATGAACGTATTTAAACGCTATAGGATCCCTTTCAATTGTATGCAACATACCATTAAAGTTCAATATAAAATTAGAACCAATATTATACCAGTTCGAATTCA